AGTCCCAATAGTTCACTTGCCCTTTTACTTTGACCCGTGAAAGGTGCCTTTGTCATTTTGCCAAGTAAACAAGATTCACATGTCTCAAATGATTCAAAATCAAACGAATGTAGAAGTCCATCTCTATGAAGCTTCTCCATGCGTTTCTCATTTATATGACCCAAGCGACAATGCCAAATAAAAGTGGGATTCAAATCATTAGGATGTTGCCTTTTTGCATTAATGTTATAGACTGAACATCCATCAAGATTCACAATGTATAAGCCATTCATCATGGGTGCATGGAAATAGAAAAGGTCATTATAATAGACTGAACAACCATTGTCCATAGATCTAAAACCATAACCTTCTGCTTGCAAACAAGAAGCAGAGATAACGTTCTTACACAAAGCTGGAATGCAATAACAATTATTTAACTCCAAAACTAATCCTGACGGTAAAGATAATGTCATAGTGCCGACCGCAACAACAGCGACTCTTTCTCCATTGCCCACGCGAATGTCCACTCTGCCTCTTGCTAAGCTCCTACTTCTTTTCAGCCCCTGCAACGATTTGCATATGTGAGCAACTGACCCGGTATCAAATACCCAAGAATCAGTAGAGGAAGTAGCAAGATTAATTTCTATAACATTAATACCTGAGGTGGAACTCTTTCCATCCTGCTGCTTCTGCTTGAGCTGCTCTAGATATTTCTTACAGTTTCTCTTCCAATGACCTGTCTCCTTGTAAAAGAAGCACTCTGCATCCTTAGCGGGCCCTGTCTTTTGAACCTTGGTCTTAGAGTTGCTAGTACTCGTGATCTCATCAGAGTTTAGCTTTCTCTTTTGACCACTCTTCTTGTTGTTGGGCTTGCGCTTATGCATAACCATCACATGGTTGGAGTTTTTCTTAATGCTTTCCTCGGCAGTCTTTAGCATCCCATGCAATTCTGCCAGGGTCCTGTTCAGGTTGTTCATGTTGAAATTCATTATGAACGGCTCAAAGCTGGGAGGGAGCGACTGGAGAATCAAATCAGTAGCCAACTCTCGGCTAAGGGGAAAGCCAAGCTTATCTAGACTCTCGGTGTAACCAATCATTTTGATCACATGTGGGCTCACTGGATTACCTTCTGCAAGCCTGCACGCAAACAAGGACTTTGAGGTATTAAACCTCTCAGCTCTTGCTTGGTCCTCAAACATGTTACGTAGTCCCGTGATTATTGTATGAGCATCCAATGCCTCATATTGCCTTTGAAGCTCAGGGGACATAGTAGCAAGCATGAGACAGCTTATATCAAGGTATTCCTTGCATCGCCTTTCATGCTCCCTACGTTGAGCAGCAGGAGCATTGTTGGGCAAGTCAGCTGGAAAAGGCTGTGTAAGCACAAACTCTTTGTGCTCTTGCCTGAGAACAATTCTCAGGTTGCGATACCAATCCATGATGTTTGTTCTAGTCAACTTCTCTTTCTCAAGAATATACCGCAAGTTAAAATTGGATGGTGCAGGAACTGCTATGATGTACAATAGAAATATATGTATGCAAAATCAGCACCATGTTTACATTTAACCTTTCATTAAACAATTTAACAAAAGATACTCCCACTATGTATTGTGAAACAAAATTCCCTCTAGTAACATAGTGAGTCAAGATCCTCATTTTATTAGTGTCTATTGAGCTTTGGCATCACAGCTAGACAACTATCAAAATAGGTAAGCAACACCTTGCTAATCACATCATATGTGACTCTTGTGCTGTTGGGGTGACATCTCCATATCCAACCCAACCTATGCCCCAAGGTTCAAAACTGTTTTGATAACCTTGTCAAGTAAACCAATAATCTCCGCATATAGATGTCCGACATCTATCCTATTTTATCATGATAAAAAGTGACACTTTGCTATGGCAAACCCATCACTTATGATCACAACCGTAATAAGTGCAATTATTAGAAGAGCATAAATTATACTTAATTTTTTTTGAGGGAATATATCCTACCATGTCATATCAAATATATAACAACAATAAAGTAAGATAGATATAAAAACCCCAAGCGAAATCTAAGGGGCAACGCACACGGCGCCCTGAAAAGGTCACGGGGTACATAGATCTCATCTACGATTCGCCATGTGAAAACCTTAACGGCGTAAACAAATTATGCCGAAACCGAGTCAATCTCATTGGCTCGTTTTTCTCATTGGCGTGCGGTTCCAGTGGACATCGGACTATCCGATGAACACAATCGCGCTCGTCCTTGGTGAGTACTAGACATTCCAGTAAAGTCACCAACACACATACCGATTGATCTCATCAACCCATGCGGCTATCGGTTCATCTCATGTTCCGATCACCTAAGAACTCATATACAACATAATAGATCTCATCTACTACATCCGCATATCAATTATATGCAATGATCTAGATCATCAACTATACAAGGCGGCTCTGATACCACTGTTGGAATACGCGTAGGCTACGATAGCATAAATCAAAATTTTCTACCTCGTAAACCAGGAACCATGCAAGTATTAGATCATAGATCGTTATCACTCGACGCGCTGTCAAGCGGAAGAAGACGCTGAGAAGTCGAAGGAACTCTCGCGAAGTAGCGCGCGTCGATGTAGAGGAAATAGTCGATCGCACCGGCTCGACCTTCTCCTCCTCGTGCGTTCTGCTCGCCGTACTCCCACGCCGATCAGCACTGCAAACCAGCGGCACCTCTACCGGTATCCACACGTACAGGGATGGAACGCCACGCGCAGATGTGCTAGCACCCGCGCGCGGCTAGGGTTTTGCTCGGGGAGGGAAGTGACGGCTAGGGTTTCTCACGTGATACAATGCCTCCGCCAGTCACACCCCTCACGAATATATAGGATCCATCACTCGGGCCTCCAAGGCCCGTAGGACTCCTATTCGGATCCCTATCCGAATTAAGCTCATATTGCATTTATATCCAATCCCCTTATTCCGGCCCATTAAGCGTGCGACCCTGTAGGTTCATATATACTCGGCTATAACCCGAAAACTCCTTTTCGGTCGACGCGTCAACAGCGGCCCCTAGCAGAACGTATTGACTCACCGGGCATACATAAAAATCATATCGGCTGAACCTCTAGTGTATACTTGTATGAACCCCTTTGCCTCACGATATTGATTAAGCTCAAGGCTAGATATGTGCCATTCTCTAATAGCTCAATCATTCACTTGAACCTATTGATAGATTATATAACTTATGATTGACTCCTCAATCACCTTTGGCATGGCCATGCACTACCATAAACTACAACATCAAGGGGCCCAGAGATATCTCTTCATAGGAGGGGCAAATCCCATCTTGATTATTCATATCCCAATACATGTTTCATAGCATACCCGAAAACTACTTTTATAACTACCCAATTACGGAGTAGCGTTTAGTAGTCCCTAAGTAAGCTACTACACATGTTGAGAACCATGATAATGTCAGGTCTAAGGATTCAACACCAACACTCAATGAGATCACTGATGACACAACACATATGGCTCTTGCAGTGTCTCATGTTGGGTATATCCAACAACATGTTCACTAACATGTGTCCACATTATTAATTTGATATCTCTATAGCATAATCCAAGAGACATGATCATCAATTAATACATGTGTTGATCATATAAACATATTTGTTCCACATATGATATTTGATCAGGGATCCTTTAGAAATAGTAACAAACAACATAAAGAGTCTCATGAAAGAATCACATATTCATTAACCAATAAGGAGTTATCTATTTCAAGGAACAATGTCGGATAAATATGTAAACATAGTATGTGATACAATCATCTCTATGATTACCTCTAGGGCATATCATTAACAATACCACAGGGTGAGGCGGCAGCCATGGGACACTCATAGCAGCTATATTCCTTATTTTCACCTACTCAAGCAGCACCAGCAAAAAAAATCCTCACCTCGGCCAGCCGCAGCACCTCCACACACCAGCAAGCAACAACACCGGCCAGCTGCAACACCACACACCAACAAGCTTCTCAAGCAGCAAGGAAAAATCAACAGCAAGCAGCCGCGCCTTTTCTACACCTTCTTCTCCCCACACGCCATCGCTGCCTTGCTTCCTCACTAGAGCAGTTGCCTCCACCGTCAACACACTTGCTTCCTCGCCGGGATCTCCACCCTTTACCTCGTGCTGAGCCGCCACGCGCTTGCCCCGAGCACCGCCTCGGCAGCCGGGGCCTTCTCCGCCGTGGGCTCCTCCTCCGCGGGCTTCTTCGCCGCCGGGCTCGGATCAACCCTAGCACCGTCTTCCGTAGTGTCTCCATCAATGCCCTCGTCCGCATGGGCGCCGCTGCCGTAGGCCACCGCCGGCTAGGGTTCAGCCCTCGCTAGCTCTGATAGTCGCCTACGATAGAGCTCGTCGGGGCGGCCAGCGGGAGAGGAGGCAGCGCGCGCCGGCCGACGAGAGGGAGGGAGAGAAGCGGTGGTGCGCGGGCGGAGGCGGCCGGCAGGAGGGCGGGAGAGGAGCGGCGGCGCACAGGGACCAGCGGGGGGAGCGGCGCGCGGCGGCCCGTGGGTGGGAGGGAGAGGAGAGGAGAGAGAGATGAAGAGAGGGGAGATGGGGTGAGGAGGAAGAAGAGGAGGGGTGAGTTGGACTGACATGTGGGGCCCACGTGGGAGCCATCATTTTTTATTGTTTTCTGTGTGAGACTGACATGTGGGGCCCACGTGGGTCCCACCTTATTATTATTAGTTTTAGTGTGAAACTGACATGTGGGTCCCATAGGTTTTATTATTTTTCTAGATCGGATTGCCACATAAGCGCCACGTCAGATGAAGACCGAGCCAAAATAGCCACGTGGGCGCCACGCCAGCCAAAACCGCCAAGGGACCTTGTTTGTCCGGTTTTCGCAAGTTGGGGGATGGGTCATATCCGGTTTTGCGCTTCAGGGACAAAAATCAGACTGGACGACAAATAGAGGGACCTAAAGTGAACTTATTCCCCATATAAAGCCCACTCTCTAAAGCCCATCAGCCACAACGACCCACCTAGCCCACCTTCTTCCTATCCTCTCTCTTTCTCTCGCTCTCTTTCTTTTCCTCTCGCTCTCCCCCGTGCCGCCGCCCGCCGCATCCTCAGGTCTCACTGCCATCGCCGCCGCTCCACCTCACACGCCGGCCGCTGCTCCCTGCCTCCGGCGGCCGCCCCGCAGCCGCTGCCGGCCTGAATCGGTTTCATGGCTCCTCATGAGCCTGCCCCCAAGCTAACCCTCTCCAATCGATGCTGCTGCCCAACGACGAAGACACCCGCCTAGAGTTCCAGATTGGGATTTTCCCCAGCTTCAGCACCCCTTGAGCCAAGCATGGCTTGTCTCCCCCGAGTTCCTCCTTTCTGATCATCCCCTTTTCTCCCTACTTCTGTGATGTGATTTGATTGGTACTCTCTTGTGTGATAGCATGCTCTGAATTGTGATGCTTGTGAACTAATCCTAGCGACCAACTTGATGATGCTATAATCAGGATTGTACTTACTGTTTCTAGGGTTCTAGATAAATTGGCTTGCTAGGGTTGGACGAATAAATTTCTGTATGCCATGAGTGAATGAATGAATGCTGATGCAAGTGCAGTACTGGAATTAGAAAAGCTAATGAAAATCACACTAACATAATTAAGTCCTTGTATATGCTTGCATGATGAAATAACTGAATTTGGCACAACAGCAGGATCATATTCTAGAATAAATCTTATTGAATGATGCAGTAATTTACATGGTACTATACTTTGAAAATCATGCCAAGATATGTACTATAGAGAATGGAACACCTTGAATACAGATAGATGGTAACTGATTTCTTTGGATGATTTACTGCTACTGACTGTATGTCATGACTATAATTTACTAGATTAGAGTTGTTGATGCAGGGAAAAAAATAAACTATTGATTAACTAACTATTTACTGTGGTTTTATTCTGAGAGTATGATTTTAAACATTCGTTCTGCTACACAAATGATTTGGTAGAAAAAAAAAACTTATATGTTCTGTTAAGTTATTGAAATTTAGTAGAACTACGACTATTTATCACTATATGCATACTTAGATGTACTTCTATTGTCTCTTTTCTGTGTTTCGTAGTAAAGAACTAGATACATATGCAAACTTAACCCAGATTCATAACCAACTGGTTTCGCATGCTATTCTACAATTCAAATGATTAATAATTTATGATGGTTCCTCTATTAAGTCTGGGTTGATTTTCAATACTTTTAAATGAAATCAGATTAATATACACATACCCTAACCTTTCCAAGAATATGCACAGCTTAGATTTTACTTTGTTTGTATGACCAAAATCTGAAAGTTCTATATTTTTTTTTTAAGTGCACATGCATGATCAACTATCTGAATAAAATTCATGTCTTTCTTTACTAATTTCCCGTTCCTGGTTATATAAGCAGTTACATTGTGAGTTTTTGACTGTGTACATAGGCATAGGTAGCTTAGTTTCAGCTACAGAGATTGAGCAGATTACATTCTATTGCTGTCTCAAAAGGTTTCTGATGGACATTATGGTGTTACAACTATCTTAATTTCCAAGTTCTTAACGTATGGGGCAAACTGAAAAGTGATCTGTGCTCATGCCAGATCCTAACAGGGGACAAATGAAGTGCAGTGTTAAAGTTGCAATGGCATTTCAAAAAAAAAAAAAAAAACATTCATCTTTGATTTCTTGACTGGGGCTCATGTCGTGGCCACCTCCATCCTCCTGGTTGCCAACCGCTGAGGAGGCGCGGTGCAGCCCACCGCTTCCATCTGAGATTGTTGCGTGGGCGACTGGAAGCGGCCAGAGGTTGAGTTCCTGCTGGACAACTGTGGGCGAAGAGGCAAAATGGCTGACGAAGGCCAGCGGTGGCTGGAGATTGATGATGAAGCAGCAGTCTGTGGAATTCCTCTTCTCCATAGCCACTTAGCCCCTCCTTTCAAGATAACTTCTGTATGTTTGATGCCCCTCTAATAATAGCTTAGGATTTTTTGAGATATCGATAGCTACAACCAGTGCTCGTTCCATCATTCAATGACCTGTAACAATTTCAAAATAACTATGTTGGGCACCAGATGAACCCAGGCAGAGGTTCTTTGGATGGGTTTTTGTACACCACAAGGGTCTATCTGCAGAAAATTTAACAAAAATAAACTGGCCGTGCATCTTACTATGTTCGCTATGCAATGGAGTTTATGGGGGAAAGTTCAGTTGCTTTTTGTTCCATGTAATATCCTCGAATTGTATTCCGAAACCAACTTCTTAATATAATGGGCAGAGCTCCAACCTTTACTTCAGAAAAAGAGAAAAGGTCACCTTCTCCTAACTTACTCGCTTTGTTGTTTTTTCCATTCACATGCGTTTGCAGCTTGGCAACTAGAGGAGCTGACTTCTGGATTGATCTCCTCTCTTATTTTCCAACAATGAGCATTTGTTGCAGGTAATGAGCTTGTACAGCAAAAAAGGATCAAATTTGAAACCATCTGTTACAGCTTATATGTGTTTACATTGAATTAGCAAGTACAATAAAGAAGGCTCAAATTTCCCTTTTATTACAGTTAATGAGCTTGTTAAAGTCTGTCTATATATTAAGGAAGAAAATTAATGCTGACAAATTAGTTGTCAAAATTTGGAAGGCAAAATGTGGTTTTTTGAGCCAAGTAAAATTCTTGGAGTTGAACTATCCTATCAGATCACAATTGCGTGATTAAAATGGAAGTCCTTTTACTTGATATTGATCAATAGGTTTTAAGATGAATCTTTGATGGCCGGCTTAGTCACCTGTTGCTTTCTCCATTTTCTATATTTTATTTTTAATGTAAAGCTTTATACAATATAAGATAGTTTCTCGCAAGCACTCTTGGTTGGTGCATAAGCCTAATGTTTTTGTCATATATGGAATGGATTGGTCTTATCTATTATATCTTTAATAACAAATTTTAAGATATAAGCTTTTTGTGACTTCTGGTATTTTTGTAATCACCACCGCATTGTTCAATACAAGACAGCCTACTATTCATTTTATTGCCATATCTTGATTTATTAATCCTTGTTTTTGTACTACCAAGTGCAATTGGTACTGTATGCTGTTTTACCCCCAGGTTGCTTCGTACATTGCTGTAGTATGTGAAGGTGTGGAAAATGAGCTTCTTGGAAACCAAATTTCATTAATAGACCTCACTTAGGATCAGGGAAGAGGAGCTGTCAAGTGCCTAGATTATTTTTCTTACAAGATATATACTGTAGTAATCACATAAAACTGTTGATGGTCTTAAATTCCATTGTGGATGACTGATTGCCTGAAGTATTCAAGTTTCATAGGTACAACTAATATTCAAGTTTTATCTGTGCTAATCCCACTGTCGATATCGTTCAACCGCCGTTGTCTGCACTCTGCACTCTGCAGCACTGTGACTGCCGTCGTTTGCAGGTCTCCAGCACAAGAATTACTATGCTGTTAACATGTACAGACTGTAAAATTATGTTAATTTGAGTTTCATAAACCTTTTCTTTTGGTATCAGGCAACAGTTGAAGATGCCACTAATCTGTATGGATGGCCCCCTTGCATTGACACTCTACTATGTGTCTGTAATTTTGCTTCTGTTGCTTATGACCCCAACAGAATTTGATGATTCAGATTTGATGTACACCAATAAAGAATGTAAGCAAATATAAGAGAAGAGAAACGATGATGTTCTTAGTGACAGATTAAAGGCGGGCTTGATCCTCTTGATAGTGAGAGCTACTTCCTTGTTTTTCCTTATTTATGGTGAGCATACTTTTCAAACTAGTATTAAACAGTATGTTTATTTAGAAAACTTCCTATATCGAAGTTTCTCTTAAAAATCAAAGTTTATGATAGTTAATACTTAATTATATGCATTAATCACTAATCATGTTTTACGTGTAGCTCATAAGCTTGACCCATCCATCCATTCGAACGGAGCTTAACTATACTTTTCAAACTATTGTTTAGAAAACTTCCTATATCGAAATTTCTATTGAAAATCAAATAAATTTGTCTTGTTTATGATAGTTAATACATAATCAATTATACATTAATCATTTGTCTTGTTTTACATGTACTCTTTCCATTCGTAATATAAGAGATTTTAGGTGGATGTGACATATCTAATACCACAAATCTGGACAGTTTTCTTAACAAGATTCAAGATTCGTAGTACTAGGATGTGTCACATCCATCCAAAATCCCTTACGGCCTGTTTGGTAAGAGCAGGGAAGGGGAATTTATATTTTTGGGATGGAGGGAGTAGCTGATAAGCTAGACCCATCCATCAATTCGAACGCAGCCTAACCAGGCAAAAGGATTTTAGAGTGTTCCTATTGGATGATTTCCATCACCTGAAAATAACATATTATTTCAGATCCATTTTTTGAATTGTTTGCATTCGGATAATTTGATATATTATTTCAGTTAAAACACTTCTAAACAATTCCAGCGAGAAAATATAATCTTATGAATCGTGCACCAATGAATCACCAGGAAAATTATTGGAATTACAAAATTGCGCCGTAGCGTAAGCACGGACATATTACAACTAGTTTTGATTAGGAAAAGACAAATTAAAAATCAGGTGAAAGCTACTCCCAGTGACGGATTTACCTCCAGGGCAGGCCGGACGACTGCTCTGGCTTCACCGCCTTCATGTCGCCGAGCCGCTTAGCATTAGCGATTAACACCGCCGATTCAGCAATTCCCGGGCGGATCGTGGGTGCAAGGCAGCAACGCAAGCTCGTGCAGGCGTGCAGCTGTCAGGTTGTCCTTGCAGGCAGCAGCTCAAAAGCATGCATGCTTATGGCTGACCTAATTACCTTGCTTAATCACACCTATCTATCAATCTATTATATACTAAAAATCCATTAAACTTCCTACAAACGCTCTTAGATCACCATGTGGCACTCTATAAACCCTCCTAAGTTGCCACGTAGCAAAGAAACATCTAACCCTTGATTTTCATTTAAATTGGTGGACCTATTCTTTTCAACCATTAGATTAGATGTAAAAAATAATAATCCACCCATCCTAATCCACCTAGGTCCACTCTATTCCTGCGGATGTAAGCTCCTACATCACCACGTGGTACCCTATAAACCCTCCTAAGCTGCCACATGGCAAAGAAATATCTAACCCTTGATTTTCATTTAAATTGGTGAACCTATTCTTTTCAACCATTAAATTAGATGTAAAAAAAAATAATCCACACATCCTAATCCACCTGTGCCCACTCTATTCCTACGGATGTAAGTACACGTACGTACTCCGTATGCTCCTATTCCCATTATTCTCTTTTCATTCTGTTATCTTTTTCTCTCCTATTTTCCTTCTTTCAATAGAAAGCAAAATTTATGTAAAAACATTTAGGCAACTATAGTATTTAAATCATAAAAGTAACTAAATAATACATATATGTTTTGATCACAGTAGTTAAAAAAGGCACATAGATATTGGTGTTATGGGTGCGGAAAGTGATAAAACCAGCACCTATAGACCATTTCCCACCTCTACAGGATGAAAACACAAGAAAACCGGTACGGCACCTTTAATAGACTATAAGTGTTGATTAATTAACAAACCGATACCTTCAATCTATTATATACTAAATATATTTATTTGTCAGTGTTATGGATACCACATACCTAATAGTAGTTGACTAAATCTCGGCAGGACCCACCACATACCATGTCTTATACGGAAACAACCTTTGGATATAGGAGAAGTTCCGGATAAGGAAAAACAACTAGAGTTCTATATGGAAATGATAAGGACTACTCGGATTGTATTTATATTGGTTTCCCTAGTTCTACTTGGACAAGTGGACACCTATGGGTATAAATACAAGGCCCCCTAGGAGGAGAGGGGACACAGAACAATAGATCAAGACACAAGATCAACATACAAGCCAACATGAGTCAAGACAAGACGCCGGATATCGACTTCAGATATAAGCATGGCTAGTCCCCTACGGTGTCTACGGATACTGTCAGGAGAGACATAGCGCTGTCTTTGATCTCGCCAGATGCGGATTCAAGGAGGAAGGCTACCCTGTTGTCGACTACGAGTCAGCACTTCAGACCGCCAAATCGACAACAGTTAGATAGGCTACCCCAAATATTGTACTGGTGTGATTATGGTGAATAAGAGCAACGACCGGCTTCGGCCAACAGGAGTAGGGTTATTACCTGACAATTCAGGGGCCCGAACCTGTATAAAAATCTCTGTCTCCATCTCTTTTACCTCAATCTCGCATATACCCTGATACCAACGATCTCCATACCATCAAAATACCATAGCCGCGATATCAAACGTCGACACTATTAAACTTCCTACAAACATTCCTAATCCGCTATGTGGCACTCCTACAAAAGCTATAGAGCCGCTATGTGACGCTCTAATAAATTATAGAAATTATGAGAAAAACGAAAATATCTAACAGTCGATTTTCATTTAAAATAGTGGACCCAATCATTTAAAACATCATATCAAAATAAAATCCCTCTTACGTATGTACGTACGCCTATCCTCCCCTCATTTTCTCTTTCTTTTTTTTTTGCTAATTAAGTTAGTTATTACTACGAGATATGCACCATAACTTAATATTGTAAATGGTTATATCTTTCCTTGCATGGCATGGAGCATCGAGTTGGCTGTGCAACGTGCAAGTACTAATTTTTTTTATGGACGATTTATACATTGATTTTATGATACGCTTCAATGATTGTATGTTTTAATTAAATTAATCAATGAGCTAAGTCCTATATTCACTCTATTTTCTATGTTTTCGATATAGACATAGACATCCGATGGATCATCTGCAATAATATCATATCTAATGGGTAAAAAAAGATAAGCCGTTTGAGATATAGTTACGGCCTTACGGGATATGAGTTCCTCTGTTACGGTGGCCGATCTTCACATAGTCTAAATGATTATATATAAACAATAGATAGCTAAATGATTATATTTTTAAATATATTCAGTTTTTAGTTTGATCCATGTAGGCTTTTCTTGATATATGATAAATATATTTTCAGACATAAATCCATATCCTTTCCGTGACAACTAAACATCAATGCAACGTTATATAAAAATTGATAACATATATCGTATCATCATTTATTTATTAGATGTCCATTACAACACCTCTATGTCTTCACATTTCACATCTAATAAATTATTTTTTTTAAAAAAACCTATTTTTGAGAAAAAATACATATGACCATCGGTTTTATTTAAATCGATAGACCTTCCCTCTCCGAAAAGTTTAGGGCTCTCCTCTCCTCTTGCCCTTCCTATTATTTAGCTAAAGTCCATTAAATTTACTACAAACACTTATAACTTGTCACATGACGCTCTAATAAATTAGAAATCAAAGAAATTATGAGAAAAAACAAAACAACTAACCCTCGATTTTCACTTAATAAGGTTGACCCGATATTATACACCATTAGATCTATCTTTAGAAAAAAAAATCAAAACCCATCTCCACCGCCTCCTTCCTCCTGGGCCTCCTCTCCTCACGGTACAAACATCCCTCCCTCTTTCCTTCCTTCTTTTAATTTTCCCGCTAACAGATTAATAAAAATCATAAAGATTCTAATAAATGTTTAGCCATTATTTTTTTAAAATTGATGGAGCCATTAATTTTAACCGTTCGATCTTCATCTAAAAAGAAAATCGGATACCTGCACTCTCACTGTCACCTCCATACGTGCACACTTATGACTTATGTAGTTACGTTCTCCCTCCACCCTCCTAACTCTCCCCTTCTCTCCTACTCCCTCCGTTTCTAAATATTTGACACCGTTAACTTTTTAGCACATGTTTGACCGTTCGTTTTATTCAAAAACTTTTGTGAAATGTGTAAAACTATATGTATATATGTAAGTATATTTAAATGATAGGAAAATAATTATTAATTACTTAAATTTTTTGAATAATATGAACGGTCAAACATATTTAAAAAAGTCAACGACTTCAAATATGTAGAAACGGAGGGAGTATTTCTTAAGCTAACTGCTATTTTTTAGCTGACACTCAATCTATCAAAAATTAATAATCGGATTTCTAAATGATCATAAAAACTCAAGTTACATATTTTCTCAATTTTTTTGAATTATTGTGTTATTTATAATTAAATACATAATTTGAGATCCATATACATAACTCGAACTTCTAATATAAATGTTTGAGATCAAAATTTTAAGCATCATATTAAATAAATATTATATTTTGATCCTATAACGCCCCTAAATAATGCCCCTAAGCCGACATGTGACCCTCAAAATAAATTATAAAAATTCATAGAAATTATATTAAAAAAATCGAACCATTGATTTTTCAATATTTTTAATCATTAGATCTAATCTTAATCTTAACCTATTTAAAAATTTCAAGATGATTCCATCCTCCATTGCTTGATGATGCTATCCATGAGTCAGCCGCACATACTCCGCGTATATGTTCCGTTCACGAGAGAGAGAGCGCACACGATTCTGACTCAAATTGATAAAAAAAATACCACATCCATTTGACTCGGCTCGCTGAAAGAAAAAGTCGATTGAAAAAATATCTTACTTTTAATTTGAAATTAAATTGTTAGACCGATTTTTAACAAACTAATACATATGCCCGCGCATCGCGTGGGCTACCTTCCTAGTTCATATAATTACGTTAAGCTCATAGTCCACTCAACCAACATGTAGCTCAAGGAATGAAATGCATATTACGTACTATGCTGTATGCAACGTCCGGCTAAATGAATTTCTTTCCTGTACCGCGTGCTCTGTGCTCATGATCAATGCTTAGATTTAAATAGCAAATTCTGAACAATCAGCAGTGCCGCTTTAAGTTATTCACATTTTTTCAACGTATAAACATTTATATGCACGTTTGGACTGTTTATATAAAAACATTATATATTTTGATGTGCAACTTTAGTGATAATTTAGACATATATACTTGATTTTAGTCGTTTTATTTAGGCTTACCCACTGCCCACGGTTTAGAAAATTTCTGGCTCTGCTACTAGCTACTCAAATGACATTGTTAGCGATAGAAGAAATCTCACCATATAAACCAAGCCATGGAATGGAATGCCACGAGATCACGTAAGGCAAGAACAAATAATTTCTACTATATGGGACAAGAATTCCTGAGACCTAGACACACATAATCTGGAAACGAACGAGAGTGGTCGCTAGCAGACAGCCCGTGAAGTACAATCTCGACGAGCAATCTCGCATGTCCGGTGGTCCAGCGTCCCACCACCGCGGGGGAGGCAAGGCAATGCAAGCGGCAGTACTCCCCACGCCATCATGCCTGTCCCCCCCTCCCCTCCCGCGCGCGCCGCCCTGCTGCCTGAGACACACTCCACTCGCGGCCATCATGGCCGAGAGACCTCCTCCCCCCCTAGGGCGCGCAACAATGGCGCATAACCGCATCGATGGCCCCGACGCGGCACGCGCGCGCTCGCAGCAGCCACCCGGGCCCTCATACTACTATTGCTTCGCGTGTGCTTGTGCTTGTGCTTCGTTTTCGTCGTAACGCAGGGACTGCTGCTCATTCGCTCCTCTTCCGTCTTCCCCCCATTGACTCTGGCCCCGCCTCCGCGCACGGGCCAATGCAACGCTGATGCGTGTGAGGGAGGGGTAGGCAGGCAGCGGCGTGGGCCCCGCGAGTCATCGGGGATGTTGGTTTGGGGGGTGGGTTTTTTTTTGGGGGGTTGGGGTTGGCACGTTGGAAGCGGCACGCGCACCCACACACAGCGCACAGCAGCATCGAGTGCGCACGCCACCTCATTAATTCGTTCGCTCCTCGCGCCACCATCCATCCATTCATTCCCTCCATTCCTCTGCACTGGACTGCACTGCGGCTGCACTCCATATCCTCTCCTCTCCTCTCCTCCTCTCATCTCCTGCCTTCCCCGCTTGCTTCTCTGTATCATCATCTGCTCAAAAGGAGTGCAGCGACGAGAAAAAGGAGAGGAACACCAATCCGAGCATCCAACGCTTCCTCGTCCGCTGTATATAAAACCGACCCCCTTTGCTGGCTCCATCCATCCATCCATCTATCCGTCTCACTTCCTCCCCTGTTCCGTTCCATCGCCCGATCTGCTTCTTCTACTTCTGTCTGCTCTTAATTGGAGTACCAAGTTATCACCTGCAGTTCCCTGATAATTTTGGTACGCCAAGTAGTACTACTGCATTTGCATCCCATTCGATCATTCATACTTCACTGTCGTTGATGGCCTTCCAAGCTCTGATAAGAGGCTGGTGCTGTGTCTGTTTGGCAGGGAAGAGGCAAGGACAGGATGCCCTGGGCAGGGACGACGTCCGTTCGGCTGGCGGTGTTCTTCCGCGTCATCCTGTGATCGATCTGGTCACGGGCAAGGCGATCGGTCACCGGCGGTGAGGGGATCCGAGCCGTGCCGCGGCGGAGGACATGTGCGTTGGGTTCAACGGGAGGAGCCTTGACACCGTCGTTATGACAAGTGGCGCCGTCGCATATTACTACAGATTGATGCAAGTGTGCCAGGTGAGAGACCACACCTCATTCTCTCCTCCTCCATCTCTTTGTGTTGCATTTTTGTTCAAATTTGCAGGCATTTCGGTTACTTGCAAAAGCGTGTCTTTTTTTCTTTCTTCTTTATTTGAGAGATCGTCGATCAATGTGCTGGTGGTGGGAATCATAATCATCATAACATTTCGTGGATAAGCAACTTGCTAATTGGTGCTGTCCGTTAGCGTATGTAGATAGAAAAAAGGAAGTCACAAGATGGTGTCGCATCGCATGCGGATAGGTGGGGCCCACTGCATGCGGGACCTACCTTGATGTCAACCATGGGGGGCTAGGTCTAAGCTAGTTGACAAAAGTTTTTTTTCTTTTATTAAAAGACTTGACAAAGTTTTCTGCGGTCAAAGTATAGGTGTGAACTTTGAGGAGCCTAGTACATATTGTGTCTTGCAATTGCATCTTGCCGCAGCCTGGGGAGCATGTTCATGTGTTTGTTTCCTTCTGGTACTAAACGATCTTAATTAACATCCATTAATTAGTGAATCGATGCTCCTATATCCTCGGTTTTACAGTAATTAGTTCTATGCCGCGTGCAAAGACCATCTTGAATGAAGTGCTAAGCTACGTGAAGTTGTTCTATTTGCCAGTTTATCACGTAAGTTTATCGTAATTTGGCATAACCAGAATCAATTGCTCCTCAGTTCCTTGTGTTTTTTTACCTAATTTAGATATAAGGTGCTGATTTTTTTAAATCAACATTTTATCTACTAGATCAGTCAAGCTAATCAGACGAGCACTCGATTCACTATTCAATCCAATTATTCTATCATAGTTGTTGTATCCCTTCCTGTGTGCATACTCTGTTTTGCTTTCGTCCAATAAAGTGTAAACTATAGATATACAAAACCATACTCTTTTTAATTGGCGTGTTCGTACTACAGCAGTACAACATACAAATTGACCGAATAGTACGTTGCAATTTAACCATGAATGCAATTCATTTTTGAAACTGAGAACCAAATATGAAGATCTGTAGGATTTTTTCTCTGGATTGTCACCGCTCTGTACAGCATACATCAACATCTTGGATTACAAATTCAACATTTTTTTTGTCAACTTCTATTCGACAAATTGATGGATAACAGTCTTTGCTCCTGTTCTCGCCTTTATTTCTGTTTCAGTCTGAAAAGAGCAAGCACTATCTTCCCATATACAACTTGCCTAGATTGCTTTAGACCTTTTCTCATATGCTCTGTTCTCGCCGGCAAACATCTTTGACGAATTACATTGGCAAATCGCAGCTTATTAGTACTTTCTCCATCAGGTTGACACATGAAAAACTTTTACATGACGACTTTTTACCTACTGTTTGATTCTCTCAATGTGAAGTATTGCCTTGTCAATCAGAGTAGTAATTCATCTTCATAATGGTTGTTTTCTGCAGGCCGAATACTTCCGCCAGCTGCTCAAGCCCGTGACGTAGATTAGCTCACGCACACATTCCATCCAAACAGCCTGAAACCCCCAAACAAACTAACCAAATCAATTTTGAATTGGACCAAAAAAAAAAAGCCAAGCTCCAGTTAGCAAAACACCTTTGAATTCATACTTGTTTAGTTTCGTTTCAATCAAAAGCAAAACATTTCCTGCTTTCCCAGACAAACACAGCCACACAAAACCAGCACGAATTTGAGCAGCACCCGATGCAGGGCGACCCAGGGTACGGGTACGGTGGCTACGGCTACGGCTACGGCTATGGCTACGGCGGCGCCGGCTACGACATGGCCGGCTACGGCGGCGGCGGTGGAGGGTACTACACGAGCGATCCGTACAATGCCGCTCCTGCTGCTTATGAAGACCCGCTCGCCGTCGCTGGTCGGAGGCAGCACGACTTCCCGGCGCCGCTCACCGGTGTCGAGTTCCAGCCGTCGGACACCTGCCCCAAGAACTACGTCATCTTCGACCAGACCTACGACCGGAGCCGGGTCATGTTCCACCCTTCGCTGGCCAACAACCTGGGCAACTCCGGCGGCGGCTACGACCACCACCACCACTGCGGCTACGGCGGCTTCGAGCAGGACTACGCCAGCAAGAGCGCCTACTATGGCGTCGAGGACGACGGCGGCGGCGGGTGCTCGATCCGGCAGAAGGAGGACACCGACGAGATCGACGCGCTGATGAGCACGGAGGACGGCGAGGAGGAGGACGACGTCCTGAGCACGGGCCGCACGCCTGGGTGCCGGGCCGGGGGCTCGCCGGACTCCACGTGCTCGTCCGGCGCGTCCAGGTCCGACTGCGGCGGCGGGCGGAAGCCCGAGGCCGGCGGCGGCGAGAGGAAGAAGGAGCGGATGAAGAAGATGATGCGGACTCTCAAGGGGATCATCCCCGGCGGCGACAGGATGGACACCCCCGCCGTCCTCGACGAGGCCGTCCGCTACCTCAAGTCGCTCAAGGTGGAGGTCAAGAAGCTCGGCGTGCGTGGCTCAAGCAGCTAGCGCGCGCCACAACATCCACAGTCAAAAATCTTCCTACTTTCACCCTTTGGCAGATAAGACGAGACTGACTGGAACTCTTGTTCGAAAAAGCCCAAAAGCCGAGACTGCCATGATCGTCCTGCCTGCCAACCTCTCGATCGTCCCGAGGATCGATCGGTGGAGAAGAAGGATTCGGGAAACAGAGCTCCGTCGCCGCACGCTTTTCTTGCTTTATTTCGTTCTCGATGGCTCTAGCTGCGTGCGTGCATGGATTGTGTTGCTTTCTTTTTCTTTTCTACTTCTTTTCTTTTTTCAGAACTTGCTGCTTTTATTTCTTGTTCCTTTCAATGGTGCCTCGTGTTGTAACTATCATGCATGCTGATGATATACACCGTGTTTTTTTTGCTATCCTCGTGCTATGTTGGGCTCTGCACTATAGTAGATCGAGTTGGCTCGTGTTATCTTATCCGTGTTGCCTAAATCTGGCATGAGAATTCAAAGAGAAGCTTCTTCTCGAAGATGTTAACGCGACTATTGTTTAATGAGATCGAATGATGATGTCGTTCTTCTGTCTGCCCTGATGGGGGTTTCAAAATACTGCTCCAATGATGATGTCGTTCTATATGAGGAGTGGATTCTAATCCCTCGAGGGGATATCCCCTCGTATACCTTTTTCTTTCAAATTCGATGCAAATAGTTGTGAAAAAATCTGAAAAAAATTAACAATGTAGAGTATAATGATACCTACTAGTCCACCAAAATTCATGTTCAAATTCGATCTACACATCGAGAAACAAAAAAGACAAATTTAGATATAAACAGTATGCTACTATTCATACGTTGAATTTGTCTTTTTTATATCTCGACGTGTGAGTTGAGTTTGGACTTAAGATTTTGTGAAGTTGTATATATGTGTTGTATGAATGTTGTCAAATTTTTCTAGAATTTTTCATAACCGTTTAGATGGTTTTTGAGCAAACGAGGGAACATCCCCTCAAGGGATTAGAATAGTTTCCCTTCTATATGTGTCAAACTCTGTTTTGACAGGTTTCGAGCAAATGTGATTTGCCTGAAAACACAGACAACTTCTTGTCCTACTATAGTACTCCTACTAACTTTTTTTTCTTACTACTACTGTATACTACTATAACAAGGAAGAAAGCCTGCACTAATGGGCGGGCATTTATTTATTTTTAATGATAAAGAGAACACTAAAAGAATTATCTCAACATATACATCTTAGAAATTCACCGTAAGAGATGGTAAATTATCTTATAATGATAACTAAAATGGAAGAAAAAAATACTTATACCGTGAAATAGATCATAGACTTTGATATACTAAATTATAAGAATGTCTCTCAAATTTTAAACAAAAATCACTTAGTCCTGCTTAGATATAAACTCACCTATCACCACTATAGATTATTATTGTCTTGAAAGTTGGGTCCCTTGATAAATGGAATTGTATTAGTACCATAAAAAGAGCCTAACACATCAGTAATACAGTAAAATAATCACGAACACTTTACACATAATTCTCTGTCTTATGTCCAAATCTATGTATAGATATCTTAAACCATTCCTACCAATTAACAGGGTAGTACAATTAAAATTAAATATGAATGTCTCCCTAACATGTGAAGCCGGCTAATACTACGTACTGAGAACCATGTGAAAAAAATATTAGCTCGAGTAACAATCTCTCACTAACACAGGGGTTAGTGGGTTCCGATTTTTCTTTCTTGTATTACATCTGAACTTTTGTTTTATTATTTTTTCCCGTGCAATATTACATCCCTAGGTGGCATGCATTTTTTTTTCAGCGAATAGCTTTTTAGTCGGACAGATCATAAGCATACGAACATAACAACATTTAATCTGAGAATTGAGAGGGGAGAATTGATTTTTTTTTTCCTGGTCTTACATACGTAGGTATTATGTATGTCTTTTTGGGAGAATGGTGTGTCCTACGTATGTATGCATTTTTTTGGCATTTATCTAGCGAATAGTTTGCACGTATTTTTCTTGTCGTCGTACATACACGTATGGACTTCGATCTGCTAATGACATTGACAACGGGCACAACACTACAATTTAATTTTGTACGGTGATTATGGATGGATGCTTCTCAATTGGTGTACAAATTAATGTATGGATTGTGCGTCGTGCTAAATTGTTACTTATATGTATCAGATATTCAGAAGGTAGCTAGGCTTGTTCATCTTGCCGAGACCAACTCGTACAAAACTTCTCGTGCATAAAAAATGTTCAAAAAGAGAAGTTCACACACACATAATTGTGTCATACCTGCACGTGCAGTAGATTAGAAGGGAGGGTTTTTTTTTCGGTTGTATACACCCTATTACGTACACGGAAGAAGATTAGGAGTGGTGGATTTTTAAAAGATCTAATCTAATGGTCTAAAATAACATAACAGGTCCACCGATTTAAATAAAAATAGAGGGTTTAGATGTTTCTTGCCACGTGACGGTCTAAGAGTGTTTATAGAGTGTCATATGGCGGCTTAGTAGCGTTTATAGGATGTTTCATGGACTTTTAGTATACAATAACTAGGAAGGTAGCCCACGGATTCACGCGGGCATGTATCTTAAGATGTGTTTGAGATACTTATATAGTTATAAGGATGGAATATTAACAGTAGAACACCGTCACGCTTCGAAAACAATTTCTATGTGCATTTTTTTTGTCATCATTGCCTGTAATTTTTTTTGTCATCATTGCTTGTAATTTGATTAATCCCCATAAGAAGAAGGAAAACTTAGTTTGTTTTAAAAAATATATCTAACAAATTAAATGTAAATTAAAAATCCTAAAAATGGAATTATTAGATCCCAAATTGATAAATTGTTGTTTAAATGGAATTATTAGAAATAATTTTAAAAGCCTAGAAGAAAAGATCTAATTTTAAGTAATAAATTCCAATATAAAAGAGGGCTAGATAAAATTTTATTAAATACTTCTCTTGATTCTATAGTTCCTAGATTTTTCTGGGATTTATTTGAGCCAAGAAAGTATTTTTAATAAATGGAATTGCATTTCATGAATAATTTAAAAGGAAAAAGGTTTAAAAATCCTTTTTTTGGTTTTGGGCGAAAGTCAGCCCAAGTCTCTCTCTCTCTCCCCCGGCCTGTGCACGCCCGGCTCAAGCCGGCCCAGTCCGCCCCTCTTTCCCTCCTCTCCCGCTGACAGGTGGGGCCCACCTGTCACGGTCGTCTTCCACCTCCCGCCGCCAGCCACCCCTAGCCGCGCGCAAGCCGCCGCCGCCCCTTCCAAATTCGGTCGCATCTTTCCCGATCCGATCAAATTGATAGAGGGGAAATGATCCCTTCGATCTCCTCTATCTTTTCCCCTATAGAAACTTTAGCTAATTTCGTTTGGAAATCATCGGATTCGAGTTCGATTCGGATTTGATTTCTTCCCTGCAACCCTAAACCTTGCATCGCCGCCGTTAGTCGCCGTGGGCCTAGCCGCCGCCTCCTAGCCCCTACAAAAGGATCCCCAGGACGTCCTCTATTCGCCGCCACCTTCGCCCTAGCCCGCCGTCGCTTGTAGCACCGCCTCCGCGTCAGCCCGTGCGCCGCCGTCGCCGCCGCAACTCCAGCCGTGCGCCACCGCCGCTCTGGTCGTCGTCGTCGCTCGGGATGGTCGCAGTCGGGTTCGCCAAGTTGTTGCCGTCCTCGTCCCGTCCTCCGTTTCCGCCGAAGATCGCCGGAGCACCGCTGTCGCCGTCGACCCGAACGTCTCCGCCGCCTCGACCTCGCCGACGTCACTGTCGGTTGTCGTCCATCGTCGTCAGAGCCCTCGGTGAGTTCGCCGCGTCGCCCTCTACCCGTAGGTGCTGTCCGTTTGCACCGCCGCGCCGTCATTCGCCGGCGAGCACGAGGTGCCGAGCCGCCATCGGCAATGACGTCATCGTCGACGTCAGCGCCACATCAGCCGTAGACCCGTGGTAGATCGGTTAGATCTCGGCCTTTCGTTTTGTTTAGATTAGATCTCAGCCGTTCGTTCCGAGACTGCTTCTGTGCACTCGGTCCACCGTGAACCCGAGCCCCGCTGACGCAATAAATCCTTTTTCCTTTTCAAAAATAATTCTTTATTGCGTCATAATCCAATGAAAATCTATATAAATGATTTAATCCGATTTAATCTTTAAAAATTAATAACTAATTCATCTTAGCTCAGATTTAGCTGGTTCAAGTCTCTCAATTTCTCTAAAATTGAGATCTACATGTTAAAAATATCCACATGTGCTGTTTATGATTGTTTATGTACTGTTTTGGTGATTTTTCTCTTTTATGCTTAGATTCCGACGTTTCCAGAGAGTCCGATTTTGCAGGAGAAGACTTTGAACAATTCCAAGGCCAGCAAGGCAAGTCACACAGATCCCAAACAACCCTTTGTGCATGTTGATTGTCACGCCCGGAAATTCACTAGTAATTTCCGAACTTATTTGTGCATAAAATCCTCGTCCAGGAATCAGCCGAGGTACACAAACTGACAATTTAATATACAAATCCATCATAATAATAACGTTACATACTTACAAAAGAAAAGAAAACAGCAGTGGAATTACGGTCTAGCGAAGCTCCGGCTCCACTCCCACAGGCAGCTCAACTAGGGTATAAGCCAAACGTCTTCTCCTTCGCAACTTGTCTTCAACTCAGGTTTGATTGATTATTGCAAGAATGAGCATATGACATACTCAACAAGCCACACAGCAAATATGCAAGTGCACAAGGATACCAAAGGATGGCATAATATAGGGCTCATTTGCAAAAGCAGCATTTAGCAAACATTTGAGAATTATAAAACAATAGAGTAATTAATCATCAATATTAATCAACACTGAACAGCACACCCATGCTGCACAGGCCCAACCATCCTGAACAACCATATCCGGCTGCACAGATCTATCTCCAAACCAGGAGCTAAACAAATTATTACCAATTATAACATCTTTTATTATGGTGAGAAGTGTGAGACTAATCACGAAAGACATTGTTAGACCCGCCCATGACCGCGGGCACGGCTATTCGAATAGTTTTACTCTGGCCAGAGGTGTACCACTGTACCCACAAGACACAGCCCCACAACATGTCACCATGCGCCTCAATACCACCACGGTACCTCGGAAAAGAGCTGTGACATTACCCCTCGCACAACACAATCCACCACAGTGCACTGTTCCCGGATCATAGTCACCCCCTTATAAACAAGGCATGGACTCCCCAGCGACCCCCGTGGGCTTATCTCCGCCACTTCTCAGTCTGGTGCTCCGCAATGAACCATGCTATACAAAAGGTAAAGCCGTTGCCTACGCTGGCTTGTGGTTGGCACGGTTAATGTTTCACAACCGAAAATCGTGAACCGGTCCTTAATTGTCATGA